ATTTTACGTAAAGACCAACACACCCCGTAAATTTGGTGTTTCTAGCTCTGTTTTTTTCGAGATCTCAGGAGGTCAAATTGACACCCCCCCCCCCACACACACACGAACGAAGGATGTTCAAACGGCCACCTGGGCGCGTAATTATGTTTGTTGACAGACTGTGCTGAAGCATAATTATTAACCAACATGACGCCTTTTACCGCATGAAGCGAGTGAGTCGATAAGAGAAGGGGGAGATGTCAGCTGTCGTGATGCAGATGATGCTAATAGCTATGCTAATGGAGGCAGGCACCATTAGCAAATGATGTCAATGGATTTCACCAAGGCTTTGTAGAGTTCATCTTTCGTGGTGGTTGAGCAGATGCAGGCTCAGAAAGGTGACATCCACGTGGTATGCTATGAGCATGGCTAGATTTGGCAGCTTTAATTGACAAAATACCCGGATTTCCGAAGTTCTACGGGTTTTACTTCTAACTACGTGGTACTTGCGAGAAAAAAAGCTTATAGGTTGGGCGTACAATCGTCAAATGAAACGGAATTACACGCCTTTGTAGTTCCTACCGGCCAGTCTGTCTCGGTTTAGACCACTGAATATCCCACATATTTGATATCGGAGACAAAAACAAAGTGACATTGGTCGCTTTCTGGACGATTAATGTTACGCCAACGGGTCTACGAGCTTTGACATATGTTCGTGATGGCAATAGACACATTCACCAACACCATACAGTAGGTTTCCCGTGTTCATATGATCTGGTTACTGATACCTGATGGCAATCCTTAAAATTCCTCATGACAAGTAGAGTCATGGTTTGAGGGTAATAATTCGTCACTGCCTGCACAGACGGGCCCATGATTTGGCCCATACGATTGCCCACTTCTCTCTCAGTCAGAATCTGGAAGTTTTGTGCCGCTGCGACGCCGGGTCTTCGGGATCTTAGCTCGGGTTAAAGTTTAGACCTGAGCTCTTCAGTCTGCGATTTGGGGATGTAGTTCCCAGATGTATGCTCAGCAGAAACATAGGTAACAGGGGCTCGGCTTCTGTGTATGCATTATTTCGCTTAGCCTAGCCATTCTGGAAGCATGAAATAGTTGTATAATGCACGTAATTAAAACCAATGACCCTTTGCAAGGTCAGTCAAAAGCATGATCACATGAGGCCAAATTTTGAATTGAACGTTAAGTTAAACCGAGAAGCAGTTATATCATAAATCAAAATAACGTGGATGCATCATCAGTAAAGTATAGAACTTTTCTAAGTGGCGCTAGCAGGCCTTCCATAGTAACTCCATACTATCGCCACGTCTTAAGGTTGTTGCTGCGACGTGTTAATGGTGAGCAGCGCGAGGACCTAAAATGACCCTGAAAGAATAATCTTAGGTGTGTATTCGCACGCCTGCTATCCTTTTAACCAGTCTTGTCTTGTGGGCATCAAAACCTCGTGGAGGGATGGATGCAAACTGGGTCTACATCATATTACGTAAGTTGTTCGGTGCATTAGCGAGGAACATTATTCACTTGTGTGAGGCAGTAGTAATATCCTTATTTCTCAGCGGAAAACCAGGAGAATGGAGATATAGATGCATTGATACCTCGGCAAAATAGCATTACCGAGGCGGCAGCAGAAGTCATTGTAGACTTCTGCCATTGTTTCGATAAAGACATGTCGCCGAAATGTCAACCCATCTATGTCTCCATTTTCCTGGTTTTTCTCCAAGGAATAAGGCTATTACTTCTGTCTTTGATTAAGTCCACGTCATGACTCAAATGACAACCTAAAGATAAAGTGGTCGGAAATTACAACGTGAAAAGTAGCAGATGGCGTTTGGTGGCCAAGCTGTTTTGCATTTTCCTCCGTCAAGCAGGCTGTTATCAGTGTAGCGCAGTGGGTAGAACTAGAGTCACAGACTCTGACAATTGTGTGGTATGGATGGAGTCGCGCCTGTAAACTGCGCCTATGTGCCTTGTCTGGGTTGGTGAGACCACGGTCTTCGTTGCAGAGCTTAGCAAGGAGCTTTATCTCAAAGTGATGCTTGCAAAATGCTCGTCAAATAAAAACAGGCTGAATCGGATCAGTGTTATACGGCGCGGAATGTGGTGATGTGGTGAAGTCGACGATGGCGAGGGATAAACACTGATGCATGTTCACTTTTGCATTTGGAGTGCAGGTTTTTAAATCTCAATCAGGAAACAGAGGATGACTTGCACGATTTGACGCATTGCTTGGGCTGAGGTTTTCGCCTAACAAAATTCCTAGTTGAAGAGTCTGAGTCCTCATGAAACCGTCTGAATTCATGTTTGTTTTTTGTAAAAACCATTGTAGGAGCTCGCCAGCCGCACTTTCTCCCAGTTCATTTCATTATGTGCCGTGCACGCATTGACATTCTGTCCAGCGAAGTACTCCACGATCACACGCAAACCGTCTTTCACAACCCTGGGGAGCGGTGGCGATAATGTAATGGTCAAGTTGCGAGTCGGCGAAACTAGAGGTACCCGGTCGAATTCCCCGCGGTGCCCGCCCTTCCTGCCAGGGCGAGAGACAGGCGGCGCCATAAAGCCTCAGCAACTGAGTGCGTAGTAAAACCCCAACAACACGCACAGCCCTGGGAGACATAAGTTAACCATGTTCAGCATGGTTGTTTGATCAGAAATCTTCAACTCAAATCCAGGATGCTAAGTCCGGTGTCCAACGGCTTGTAAACAATGTCCCGTCAAACAGATTCTCAAAGAAGGCCAAAGCGCATTTCGTCATCGCGAGTACGACCACTGAACAAGTGTGAACAGGTCCGCTGCAGCTGGTGCCGACACCATGCAACTGGCAAGCAGCATGCAAGTGACCCCCGTACACGTGACATAATCATCATTCGTCAAGCTGCGGCATTACTAAAGGGTGCGAATGTAGACATTTGAGGGATTAGCTTAGCCGCTAACACAGGACTTAACTTAAGCGAACACAGGACGATCCATTGCACGGGAGAAGTAGCGGAGGGTAATCCGGCTGCATGACATGGGATGGTATTTTGGTACTCCATTTGCATGCATGCTTTCAGAAAACTTTGAATGTGGTGATGTTGGATATAATATGCGAGAATGTTTGGAATGAATGAACAATGATGACTGCAATGATATTTGAATACAACAATGTGCATGTGCATGTGCATGTGCATGTTTTGCATGTTCCGTATTTTTTACTCCCTCAAGTACTAGACCTAAGCTGGCTGGCTACAATTCTCTGCTTCATATGCTGTAGCTTTGTTTTCACTAGAAGAAACCGCAACTTCGACATAAAAAACGAGAACACGTAAAACTCCGGATGGAAACTACTTAGGTTTGACATCTCGGGTCACTTATAAGTAATTTCTAAGACAACCCGCGGATTGCTTGACGCCGATAGCTCGTTATTGTTCGCTGGAGCATTTTCTTGTTTCTGTTCTCTTAAATGTTTGATTTCGCCCGCTTCAAAATCGCCTAAAATTTTCAGTTTGGCCTGCTTCAAGTATTTGAAAAATAGCCATTAACAGCGGCTGATCACGTTTGTTCTACCATAGCTTCTAATTCAAAATGTAAAGCTACGTTTACCTGCTGGCGGGCCATCAGATTGCGTGATCTAGTTTAAGAACCGAGTGGGTTGTAGCTTTCTTATATTAAACTGAACATCGACAAGACCTGGAATCAGGAAGCTCTATCATCTGTCTAATCACTTCAGGGAACTCGATGCTATCTTTCCTAAACCGAGCTATCAGTACTTGGGTGGTGGGTGTACTGCTGTCACCGCCGGCGCGATACTGATCTAAATGCTTGGGCCTACCCAACGATGCAATGACAGTGTCAGAGTGACAGTATCGCGTCACACGCGAATCAAGCAGCGTACGGCTCGGCAGGTGACATGCCGTGCTCAGAAGCCTGATTTAAGATATCCATGGATTTCGCCTTTTTTCTCTGCAGGATGCTTCATCAGCTCTTCCATAGGAAACCCCTGGCACCTGCGGTCTCTGGACGACTCCCGATAAAAATGCGCATGGCTGCTCGCCGAGTTTTTCTTTTTTTGCTCAATGTGCGCATATATCTGTGAATTTTAAGGCTTTGAGCTAGCAAGAGGCCTCCGAAGAAGGGGGTTTTGGAAAGTACGTTTAACCGTTTTACTGCTATTCTTATTATTCGCATGCCAAAATAAGTAGATGCAGTGATTTAATATATGCAATGTTAAATGTGAGCAGGGTTGGTGAATGCGAGATAATGTTTTTGCCCAGACATTTCGGCCTTGTAACGTCAATGCATGCAACCATCAATCGCCGCCATTTCATGGGAATAATTCCCGGCTAGAAACGATCTAACATGACGCCGCCTGGGTGATCTCTCTAACTTCCAATGGCTTGGAAGCGCACGAATCCGTGGGGGAGGGCTCCTATACACTCATGATCTACCAATCAGATCCGCCAAAATTCAAAAGGCGTCAATAGCCATGGTGAACTCAGCCACTGACACGTGACTGATGACGTCATACGTCATGCGAAGCAGCTTAAAAGCAGCAAAATGCTTGAATTACCTCAGGACCTCAAGCGCAAGTATTAACGGCCATTCAGCTGTATCACTGGCGAGAGGAGCAAGAGAGTACTCCTGTCCTTCATAACGACACCTTCATGCTAGAAAAGGTCGAACTGTCGAGTTTGGCTCAAGTCAAGGCCAGTTCATCCCTTCGGATATTTTCAGTAGCCATTGGTTTATAAATGCGTGAGTTGTGCAACTCATTATCATAAATGGGTGGCACAATTTATCGCAAATGCTCCTCCAACAGGTGAGTTGTCAAGGACGGACCAGAGGTTTCCTCGGCATGCGTTCGTCATTGCTTCCCCCCGCCCCCCCCCCCTTCCCCCTCCCTGGGGGCAACTATAAGCGCATTGTTTCAACAAGCCATTTCCCCACAACATTGACTTCTCCCCCACAAACATCAGTTCGGCCTCCATTTACCAAATCCTGGTGGTGCACCTCCACCAACTGACCTTTGACCTGCACGTGACCGAAGTCGAGGTGCTGGCCGAGCGCGTGGCAGTTCCAGCGGCCGTGTCGGAACCGGTGCTGGCAGTCTGCCGTGCCCAGGCGGACGCCCTCCAGCAGGGGCGCGACCAGCTCCGGCTGGCGTCGGCAGAGACGGCGCTGGCGAGGCGTCAGCCCCCGCAGCCGGCCGCACGTCTCACGAGCGGACGCCGACGCTCGCCTGCGGCAGGGGCGCGGCTCAGCGCGCTGATGAGGCGGACAGGGGCACGGCTCAGCGCGCTGATGAGGGCACGGGGAGGGGCACGACTCAGCGCGCTGATGAGGCGGGCAGGGTCACAACTCAGCGCGCTGATGAGGGCACGGGGAGGGGCACGACTCAGCGCGCTGATGAGGAGTCGCGAAGAGGCAAGCTCAGCGCGCTGATAGAGGCGCGGGGAGAAGCACGGCTCAGCGCGCTGATGAGGGCGCAGAAAGAGGGAGAGAGAGAGAGAGAGAGAGAGAGAGAGAGAGAGAGAGAGAGAGAGAGAGAGAGAGAGAGAGAGAGAGAGAGAGAGAGAGAGAGAGAGAGAGAGAGAGAGAGAGAGAGAGAGAGAGAGAGGGTGGAGAAGGAGGAAAATAAATTGTCATTGTAACAACAAAAAGCGGAGAGCGAGTTAAGGTCATTCATTACCGAATGCTTATCTCAGTAATCAAAGTGTATATTCACTTCAATTGAAGCCACCAATTTGTACAATTATCCAACAGCCAAACCACCACGGCTCGAATCAGTCCTTCACAACGCAACAATCGCTCCATAACCGACACAAATGCAGTACATTGGAGCCCGCTTTGGCACGCAGTGGCGAGTGCAGGTGACGTGAAAACAATGCCACTTCTTAAAACGACACGGTTCTACGGTACTTGTCAATCCATATGTGCCGGTCATGCTTAAAATAGATTTCCATCGAGTCGTGCCGGTCTGGTTTCAAATTTGATGTAATCCTAACCTCACGTTTTGAAATTATCCACATATCCATATATGGTGCGGTGCGGAGTATATTATACAGCGCGGAGGAATTTATAGCACGGCTCGGAACCCATGGAATTTTGGTTACGATAAAAAGGCCCATAACGGTTCAAGAAAAAGCAATAATAAATCAAAAAGAAACTTTTGGTAGAGGTGCACTAGAAGAACGACACGCAGAAAACGGAACAAACGAAACACTGAAACAGGAGGCACAGAACACAGACTGAGGCAAAGAACCCGCGTGACATGACGACGAAAGATCGTCGCTGATATGAGACAAGTGATGCTGGGTAGGAACCAAAATGACCAGCGTTGATGTCCGGGAAGACAAGGAAAGGAAGAAAAGTGAGCCAAACATTTATATATATATATATATATATATATATATATATATAATATAAAGTACCTAGAGAGGAGACAGGCATGGTCGGCATCGAAATATCCTTCTTTATCTGGGTGATTCATGAACGGCAGGGCTGAAAATGAAGTATCGGATGCAATCTTTGCGGTATTTAAACAGCTACCGTTAGCCATTTATCTACACCAGCTTCGCCGTCATGGAATGGTAATTCGTAGCTCATGCATTCACGACAGTGTTTGGTGCATACAAATGCGGTAGGAATCTCATGCTCATGAGATCCCTTAGAGACCATGCATTCCCCACGGCCCTAGAAACCAGAAAATCAGAACGAGACGATTTCAGGATCCTGTGTGTTACAAAAACTAGTATGCGCGCAAATGCTAGTTTGGTGGCTCTAGGTGAATTCTGTTTGGATCAAAGCAGGTTTGGCAATATACCCACAAGTCTTGCCTATTTTCAAGCACTGTTTCCCCTCGAGTGCTCAGGTATATAACCAAATCAAAACATCATTTGGATTAAAGAGAAGTGATCAATAGGCCTAGAAAGACGACTTAACTTGTACAATTTGTTTTAGATAAATTAAAAAAGCTGAACAAATACATGAGGTGGAGTGCAGCGCGATCAATGGGTGAATCTCAAGGACGACCCTCTGGAAAACAGCACCTTTATATCAGTTTGCTACCACAATATTTGTAACCAGCACCCTTTTGCTGCGCCGAAATTGCACTAACCCTCCAGGATCTCTTGCAAAACCATTCTATACTTTGCAGCCATTGTTTTAAAACTTTGTCAGCTTTTCAACACGCTGTTCACTATAGCTTCGTTAAGGCCTACCCTATACAGAAGTGCCACCATGAACAATTTTTGTGAGGCATGCTAGGACAAATAACAGGCTGTTGAGGCTTACGTCCAAGGTTTTTTCACCATATCCGGCTGATGTTTAAGCAAAATAAGTTGCGTCATGGTCTGTTTCACCATTTCCATCACATTTGGACCATGTGTGATGCACGTCAACTGCCAAGGAAGGATTCAGGAGCACTAGGGAGAGGCGTTTTGGTACTCAGCTGGCTGCGAAGGTCAGGCAAAGCGACTATGGAAACAACGTAATCTTGCCAGCAAAGAGCATGGAAAGCGTCGAGTTAAAAATGCATGTAGGTCACATACCTTATACAGGAAAATGACAGAGTTAGCCCTCGCCCTACAAGGAGCATAAAGCCCCACCGCTAAGAGCACGAAAGCTTAGCAAGCTAGAGCCACGCAAAAACGGCACTAGGAAGTTTTTGCAGAAGCATCTCGTTTTAGTAGAACTGAACGTTTTAACCGTTGAGTAAGGCACATTTCGAATCAATTTTCGATCACGAACCTTCATTACAGAGTCCAAATGTAAATAACACCAAATGCTGGCCAGATGCTAGCTAGCGTGGACAGCGCATTTACATTGTTGTTTTTTTCAGCTCGCAGGTGATAAAGCGTTACACATTACCGACGCTTTGGTCCAACAAATTATAACAAAACGGAGGGGGCTAAACATGCTAGCTATGCACAGACACTACGTGATTCGCCTCGGCAGAATGCTTATTTTAGTTATATATATATATATATATATATATATATATATATATATATATATATATATTATATTATATAAATAATATAT